CCTTAAAGTATGAAATATTCATATACAAATACACATAAATGTGTGTACTGTCTCAGTGGCTGATAGTGCCCCACAGGCCTCAGTGTGAGCTTGAAGACATTTATAATGTGTAAGTAGTTTAATGTGTAGGTGCTGACAATAAACACATTTTGAATGAAAGCCGGGGAACTTTGGTAGCACAGAAACAAGTGGAAATATGAGGAAACAATATAGATCGGTTCCTCATATTACCATTATTTCACCCAAAGGCACCAAGTTAATACTCAAAAAAGCTGCAGCAATACACACAAATATAAACAGTACATGGTGACAACTTTGCCTTTAGCCTTTAACCCTCTGGGGTCCAGGGGATAATTGGCCGTTTTTGACTACTTTTGATTTGGCCTCTATATTTCACCTTTAAAAACTGTTTATCTTGCCAATCTGTTATTTACTCGTTTTGACAAACTGTATCAGCACAATTTATCTAAATTCAGACAAAATTTAAAATACGAGTAGAAAGTGATATTTTTGACTGTAAAAACCACAGGCATGTTTAACGAATCATTTTCATAACTTGAAATGCAAATAGAAATTGTACATTTTTAAAAGAAGCGCCTTGAGGCGACTTTTGTTGTGATTTGACGCTGTATAAATAAAATTGAATTGAATTGAATTAAAAAAAATATGCACAAGTTTTGCAAACAACACAGTTATTTGGTACTATTTACCTAAAAATGCAGCCAAGGCTCAGGCGTTTTTTATATAACCATTTCAAATTATTTACAGAACAATCAGGTGCTCTGCATCAAATAAGAAGACACAAATTATTTAGGTAACTCCGAAAAATAGTTTGTGTCCACTATAACAGATGAGAACAGCACAGGGATAAACCTGCAGGTCTGACAGCAGGTGTGTCACTCAGCCTTTACACTGCAATCTGCCTTTGGTGGCTTTAAGGCAGCAACTGTGACGTTCACTAGTAGAACTGACACACAAAACAAAACAACGACTATACTACACACTAACTACACAAGACAACACACAAACTTGAGACTCCAAACACGGCAAACATCACAAATCTCTCACGTATCAAAACTCTCTCTCTCTCTTTCGCTCACTCTCGCCGGTCACTCCTAAAACTTCCCCCTCTTCCCAAACAACCAAATGCCACATGTTGCCATATCATTTTTTGATTGGTCGACATGGCACATTTTTCCACCAATAGGGAAGGAGTGTTTTTTCTTTTTCTTTTTTCACTCATAAGCAAAGCGTGTTTTCACTCATAAGCAAAGCGTGTTTGCTAGCGCTCTCCACAGAAAACGCCGTTTTTACAGTTTCTTCCTAGGGATGGGTACCAGTATCCGGTGCCATCGATGATGCAGCAGCAGCCGTTCTTCTCTGCGTGAGTAGCTTAATGTTGTTTGTGTGTAATTTATGTTGAGTAGGCTAACCACGTTATTACATTAATGCACGTAAGGTGAACTAGCAAACATCATCATAGTTACATGCGGCTGTCTTCTTGTTTGATGGCAGATGCTCCCTTCACCCTGGCTAAAAAGGCTAAAATGACCAAAGAAAAAGTGGAAAATAGCTAAACATGAGAGGTTTTTGGACAAAGTTTGTGTTTTTTCCATTGTTTAAGCACTGCTTCCAGCCAAGAGTGATACCATATA